GTGCTGCTGAGAAGAAAGTGTATTCTCTTGTTAAAGGATAATATATTCTATATGTGTCAGTTAAGTCTAAGTTATTGATTGTTATTGAGTTCTATAGTCTTTTTGTTCAGCTTTTGTTTTGAAGATCAATCTAGTGATGAAAGAGGTGTGTTAAAGTCACCCAAAATTATTGTGTTGTGGTCTATTTGACTCTTGAGCTTGAGAAGAGTTTGTTTGATGAACGTAGACGCTCCATTATTTGGGGATATGAATTTACAATTGTTAAGTCTTGTTGGTGTATGGTTCCCTTGAGCAGTATGTAGTGTCCTTCTTTATCTTTTTGCTTGACTTTAGCTTGAATTCTACTTTATTTGATATGAGGATGGAAACCCCTGCTTGCTTCTGCAGTCCATGTGAGTGATATGATTTTTCCAAACCCTTCAACTTCAGTCTCTGATGTCTTTTCCTATGAGGTGAGTCTCTTGGAGGCAGCATATTGTTGGGTCTTTTTTTTTTTTTTTTTGATCCAATCTGCTAGTCTATGTCTTTTGATTGGTGAGTTTAGGCCATTAACATTCAGGGTTATTATTGAAACATTATTTGTATTCCCAGCCATTTTTGTTTATGTTTGGTATTTAATGTGACTTGGTTTCTCCTCTGATTAGATTTTCCTTTAGTGTAATACCTCCCTCTTGTGATTTTCATCATTGTTTTTTATTTCCTCTTCTTGGAATATTTTGCTGAGGATGTTCTTTAGTGCAGGCTTTCTAGTTGTAAATTCTTTTAACTTTTCTTTATCATGGAAAGTTTTTATTTCATCATCAAATCTAAAGCTTAATTTTGCTGGATAGAAGATTCTTTTTTGGCATCCATTTTCTTTCAGAGCTTGGTATATATTTTTCCACGGTCTCCTGGCTTTGAGAATCTACTGACATATGAATTGGTCTCCCCCTATATGTGATCTGATTTCTCTCTCTTGTGGCTTTTAAGATTCTATCATTATTCTGTATGCTAGGCATTTTCATTATAATGTGCATTGGTGTAGATCTGTTGTAATTTTGTACATTTGGTGTCCTGTAAGCCTCTTGTATTTGATTTTCCAATTAATTCTTCATGCTTGGGAAATTTTCTGATATTATCTCATTGAAGAGATTGTGCATTTCTTTGGTTTGAAACTCTGTGACTTCCTCTATCCCAATAACTCTTAGTTTTGGTCTTTTGATGCTGTTCCATAATTCTTGGATGTCCTGTTCATGGTTTCTTACTATCTTCACTGTGTGATCAAATTTATTTTCCAGATTGTATACTTTTGTCTTCATTATCTGACATTCTTTTTTCCAAGTATCTAGTCTGTTGGTTATGTTTTTTATTGAGTTTTTTAATTTGGCTTATTGTATCCTGCATTTTAAGGATTTCTGTTTTTTTTTTTTTTTGAGTCTCCATCTCTCTCTTGAAGTAATCTTTTGCTACCTGTATTTGCTCTCTTATCTCTTTATTGGAGTGATCAATTTTTGCCTGTATTTGCTCATTTAGGTCATTCTTTAATTCACAGATTATTTTAATTATGAACCTTCTGAACTCCTTCTCTGCATTTTATCAACTCTGCCATCCATAGGTTCTGTTATTATAGTATCCTGGTTTGTTTGGGGCACTTTCCTCCCTTATTTTTTCATGTTTTCGATGTGTCTTCTTTTCTTGCAGTGTGGATCTGAGATATTATAGTTACTACCTTATATTCTTATAGTACCTGTGCAGATTATCTGTACCTCACTTTGATGTTGGGCTTCCAGACCCTACTGGTGTCCCTCAATGTATGCTACTGTACTAAGGGTGGTGGCAGCAATAGCCAAGGTAATTCAAGATAATAGTTGAGGTGCCCCAAGATGGATGCAATGTCTTACAGAGATGGGGCTGAAAGGGTGGGCCTCACACTCTCTTTGGGATGCCTGCTCCGAGGGGCAGCTGCCTCTAGGTTTTGTCTGTTCTCAAAAAGATAGAAGCTACTGCATGGAGAAGGGTATGGTGATGACTGCAGTGTCCCAAGATGGATGTGGGTTAGCCTTAGGCTCCCAGGTGGGTGTGGGGGGCGAACTTGGACCTACCCTGGACCTGGGTCCTGAGCAAGTAGGTGTGGGCAGATGTGGGCTGGGCCTGACCTCCTGCAATAGTCTGCTGGTTGGAAGGGGCAGTCAGTCCTGTGTTAGAGGCTGGGCTCCCGTGGGTGCCTGCCGGTGTTGACCCAGGCAAACTGTGAACCTGGGTCCCGTGCAGGCCAGTGTGGGCGGATCTCATTTAGTTCTTTATACTCTTAAAGTCTGTTATCATTTTATTTTTGCTTTTTTAAATATTATTTTACCTACTTTCAATTTAAGCTCTGTGAGGAATGAGAGTCAAATACTATATCTTGCACATTTTTTTCCCCAGCTGCCTCTTCCCTATTCTTGGTGCATTATTTGTTAAATAATGCTTGTTGAAAACAAAATCCTGCTGAATCAATGTAATGCAAAGCACTATTGAAGTACTGATATTGGGGAGGAAAAACTACATCTGTTCTAATGGGACTGAGATGAAGGAGGAAAGGATAGGTATGGATCTATATAAGTTTGGAGTTTGGGGGCAAGAAGTGAAGACTTTGATTCTCACTCTGAACTAGAAGGACTAGTCCCCTTCCTAGAAGTAAGCAGTTGATGGTAGGGTGTGGGATATGAAGACAGCCATTTAAATTTGAATACTTACTAAAAGGAATGCAGAAACTACCAGAGAAGATTGGAAGGAATACTAAGTGGCTAAGTAGTTTTGGAGACCCTGTTGTTGAGGACAATGAGTCCAGTTGAGAGACTCCCCAGCACTGCTCAGCAGTATAGGCCTGGGAGAAACAATAGTTAGCATCCTTGAACCAGTGTTCAAACTGTGAAAAATAGGTGTGAAGTACATTAAAAGTTGTTAAAAATTCGAGAACTATAGTGAAAGTGATGGAGGTGATTCACAGATGTTCTAGATTGAGTAGAGGAAGAGATGATGCCAAAAGGGTTCTCACAGCTTGTGACAAAGTGGGAGGTCACAGGAGTGAAAGACTCCACATAGCTGAGGAATGGTCATAAGATTGGACACATGAAGCAAATTATGAAAAAGCATAATGAAGGAGGGAGATGTAGGATAAAGTGGGTGGAAGTGATTCCATAAGTCAAATAAGGCAGTGGGAGTGGAGAGCTCTCTTTAGAATGAGTCCTTACTGGAGGCATTTCTTCCAAGGCCCTTTAATACCTATCAACATTTTAATTTCTTCAAGTCTGCAATGTTTTGAAGAAACAAAGAGCCAAAAAATATATTTATGGAATGCATGATGACTAGATGCTTCATGTGGTGGTGGAAAAATAAGGCCACCTTGGGTGCAATGAACAATTCATGCATTATAATAATTTCCTGAGGCAATTTGCTAAGTGATGCAGGGGAAATTCAGATCACTAGTAGATTATACTCACTTAGAACATTTTCCCCTCTGGACTGAGTGAGCATTTCAGGAATGTGTTTAGTGAGGCACTGCCACTAATCAACAAATCCCTGGGTGTGTRGTGCCTCCTCTGAACAGTGGAGCTAATTGCCTAAAAATCAACTACCCTTCTGAAATATTTCTTACCTCTACTGAAAGCATATTAAGAAGAATAACATGTCTTTATTCATTACTCAGTCAACAGATTTTTTTATTTATATATGACAACGGAATGCATTACAATTCTTATTACATATATAGAGCACAATTTTTCATATTTCTGGTTTTATACAACAAATGTTTATTGATAAAATAAAGCTACTTTACAATAGCAAAGCTGGCTGGCAGAAGAACAAACCAGAACATAATTCTCAGTAGAATCCTAGCAGSTAGGTAAAGATTAGATGACAATAGTAAGAATACTAACAGGAACATGTGCATGGTACTTTACAAGTTATGTCACATATGTTTAGCTTCTTGGATCCTCATGATAATCCTGTGAGGTGTTATTGTTCRGTATTTTAAGAAGAGAAAACTATGTCTTAACAATTTTAGTAACATTTTAAGGCAAGTAGTTTTTCTCCAACTACAGTTCACTTCCTCGATTTTTTTTCCAATAACAGTACTTTTGGGAGGTAGTATGTCATGAGGGTAGCTTAGCACTACTCAACAGGATGGCACTGTGGGAGGGATCACATCCAGGTTTAGTTCACTTAGCAATCAGAGAACTGAGAAGATGGGTTCAAGGGAGAGAATGTGTTTTCCACCATGGCTCCACCAGGTGGCAGTGAGGGCCACCACTAGAGACTAGTGTGAGTCAATGCAGACATTTGGCTATAAGTGGCTCAAGCATAAGGGAGGAAAGAAGCAAGTCAATGCTATTCTCTTAGCGTGTTAGAATTAGTGGTGCTGCTATTGTATTCAGCAAAGTTTTTCATGCTTATGGTGGGTGGGACAACAGTGAAAGAAACTATGAGTGGGAAGCACATACTATGTAATATGTTCTCTTAGTCTATACTTCCAATCCCACCCCTGAATTCTAGATGATCGAGTTAGTATTATTGTCAGGCAACATGAAATTGGTTGTTCTCTTGGGAGAAAAAGTGCATGTGTTCAGTGCATTCATGTTGATTGCTATATGTACACTGTTTCTCTTGAAGTTTACCAGTCTCTTATSCATCAGAAAGAAAAGCAACTTGCAGTATCATAGGGGTATTGGAATTTTATATGCACTTAATAGATAAAGGAATTCAAGACAACTTGATACTTTCCTTGTTTTGACACAGCACAGTAAGAGGTACAATTTTGGCCACTGGGGGGAAACAATGAGTTCCTGATTAGAGAATGCCATATCAGAAAATGTATGTGGCTGGGAATGAAGAATTAGAACACTTCTTTTTGCATATACTAATAATTAGATGCTATACTAATCCTTCTAGGAGTTAGAAAATAAAATGTTCTATTTGTCTGGGGATCCTCAGGGACCCAGGTATTTTGTACTCAGTCCCCAGGAATAAAATCCAAGTTCCCATCAGTGGAAAGGCTGTTGTATTTGAGGAGATTCCTTCTCCACAGGAGGTATCTGCTTTTCTTCTGGTACTGAGGGTAGATCAGGTGCTTTCTGCCCACACCTTGCTACTGTGAAGCGACTCATGTGAATAGCTTCCTCATACCCTGGGAGGGTGTCCAGTGAGGAGGGCAGCTGGCCCAGGGAGCTGTGGGAGCGAGTCACAGCCAGGATTCTCCGAGCTGCAGGGCCAAACACTGACTGCAGGGCTGCAAGGAAAGGAGGGATAAAGCTAGCATAACTGGGGGAGCCCCAGGCACCAGAGGCTTACATCACCCTTAATATCCTTTCATTTTTAACATGTGTCCAAACTCATTAGCACTCCCTGCCACAAAATTTATGAAAATCCTGCAAAGCTCATTTAAAAAACCACCTTTAAAATCTGCTTTAAGATCCTGTCTTCTCTGATGTCTCTGAGTAATCTAAATTGTGCTCCCATAGCTCACAAGCCTGGCTCTTTCCTTTTGAGACTTAGATCCCTTTACACCAACCCATGATAGTAAGGATTCCTTGGGGATATTTATTTCTGCCCTATTTGTCACTGCTCTAAGATGGCCAAGAGTAAAGGGGGGTAGGAGGGTGAAAAACAGCACATCACAGTGTTCTTTCTAAAATAAATATCAGAGTGTTTTGCTATCTGGTTTTATGCCTTGTATTTACTCCCTAATTTCAGGAAGTATAAAGAACAGAAGGAGAAAAATAACCATATAATCAAAAGGACATTGGAGCTAAAATCTAGAGTGCTAAGACTTGAAGAATACATAATTGAAAGTGGGCACCACTAGTTTCTTTAAAGATACAAAATAGAAGAAATATAATAGAAAATGTAGACTTTCACCAAATCTGAGACATTTGGGGAAAGGTGGATGTGCAGAAGGTAAAATAGCTTTAGTAAAATAAGGATCTATAAACTGTGTGAGTCTTCCTATAAAACATCTTCAACATTATCTCCAATATTTCACTTCTTTCTTCACTCTATCAGCCTGACAAATAATTAAGAATACAGCATTAGTGAGAAGCCAGGTCCCTGCACCTCTGGACTTCTGGAAATTAAAACTACCCCAGTCCTAGAATATTTAATAGTCTTTGATCAGTGGTTCCATGCTTCTGTACTCCTGGAGTCAAGCTTTTCAACCTGGATCCCTCTCTCATGTCATAAGGCCATGTACTCACAAGTAAAAGTGCTCTGGAGGGTGCTGTCATGATCAAAAGCGATGACTGTCACTTCGTAGGGCGGCTGGCCCCCGTCTTCGCCTTGTTGCTGACGACCCAGGCAGCAGCGGAAGCACACTGAGGTCAGGCCACACAGGAGCAGCAGCGCGCCAATCACCACCAGCAACCTGCAAGAGCCAGAGGAGCAGGTCCCAGCTGGCTTGTTTCCCAGCTCGGTGTAATCAGCCTTTAATGTCTGCCTTTTGATTCTCATGGATAATTTAATGTTTTATGGAATAATTATTAGATTTTAATTCCAAGTAGATAGACCTTCTTATTTTGTCAGCAAGACCAAGTCAGTTCGTTAGAGCAAATAATAAGATATTTATGATAGGCGGAAAGGGCTGCTTTTGACTTAAGTAAATCCCCATGTAGAGAGATTTCTCAAGCCTACTCTGAGGGGAGGACACAATGATCTTTTGATGTTGGCTGAAGAGATCATAATAAAATAGAAAATCCTGGCATATTGTCAATTTGGTTAGTGATGAGGTGAAGAAACTTAACTATATGAAATGTTAAGTAGGCACCTTTGCTTCCTGGTCACAATGTGTATTGAAACTTAAAAAAAAAAAAAAATGAATGCTCTTAAAAATAAAGTGTCTGGGCTGGGGATGTGGCTCAAGCGGTAGTGCGCTCACCAGGCATGCATGGGGCGCTGGGTTCGATCCTCAGCACCCCATAAAAATAAAATAAAGATGTTGTGTCCACTGAAACTAAAAAATAAATATTAAAAATTCTCTCTCTTTAAAAAAATAAATAAAATAAATAAAAATGAATGAAGTGTCTTTGTAGGTGTTATAAGTGAAACTTACCATATATACCAGAGATGTACCCAGTCTGTGGTCAGGCAACTATGGAGAAAGAATAAGTTTGTTAAATTAAAAACCGGAAATATGAGTTACAGAGTGATACCATGCTATAATAAACACAACATGGATTGTATTATTTAAAATTCAATGTAACTAGCCAATTCTATTGTGAAATGGTGTGCCTCAAATGATGGGGGCTTTGGGTAAATCATTTTATAAATCACTATAAAACAGATCAAAGTACTGATCATGAAAAGTGTTAATAGAAAATATATCCATGGCTACTATAAATAATTATGATGAAAATTGCCAGGAAAGAACTTGGAATGAAATTGCTAGAGTAACCTTGAAAACAGATGTGAACATTAAGGTTTGCATAAATTTGAGCTCAATAAAATGTAACCATAAAGAAAGTTTCAGTTAAGAGCATGAAAGCTATCAAGTTTGTAATTCATGTTTCATAAACTCTTGCAACATCCTTACCATGAAAAGGGGCCTAAAGTGTCACATCCAGGGTCAAAACTGATAACAGATATCCACTAAGACTGAAAAGGAAGAAGGTAAAAAGCAGAGTCTAACTTTGATATTATGAAAACTAACTAAATATTCTGAATTAATTTTGGCAATTTAAAATTTTCTCTGGAGGAATGGAAATATAGGGATTGCAATGGAGAAAGAATGAAAGCAGATCAGGAATTGGAGGAGGAGAAAAAAGTATGTGTGCATCTCTGAGATACAAAARTTTTTTCATTTAATAATATTTTCTAATACGTTGACCTTTTGAAATCTAGTGAAGCTCATTTCTATATCCCTTCTTTAGTTATATAGTCATAAAAATACAGCTTATTATTTTACTGTACAATGTCTCCTCTTGTTTTTTTCATATTCACCATTTGTTCAGAACTCTTCTGGTTCTTCATCAGACTCAGGTTCTATAGAAAAGGACTCTTCCTAGAGTATATAGACAGAGTGTGTCAAGTAGCCAAGGTCCAATTTACATGTAACAAATAACCAAGACTATCACTAGTTCCCCCAGGTTCACAGACTTCTTAGCTCTTGGGAAACCTTTCTCATGGATAACTGTGTTTTCCTTCAGCCTAAACAGGTCTTTTATTCACTCTCTACTTTATCTTTTTTTTTTTAATAGTTCCCAAAGTAGAATGAATCACTTGCATTTTTATCTTTATGTTCTCTGTGTCTGCATAAAACCTAATAGTGGCAGGTTTAGATTAAGGGATAACTCCATCAAAGTGGTAGCTAAATTAAGTCTGAAATAAATATTAACATGTTCTGAAAACTAGAATATACTTCTTTGGAAATCACTTAAGTAGATAACACCAATGATTAGATACTGAATCCAGTCTGTCCTGATGAGTCACTGAGAAACATGGCTAAGAAAGTCTTTTGCAAGTCTCTGTGACTATTGAGACTAATTGTTCTGCTTTGATGGGAAGATTAGCTTGGGAAAAAGTACTGTCAGCAGTGTTATTTTCAGTCTTAGGATGACACATACATGTCTATGATTGTAGGTGATTGTCCATTTAAGTAGAAATAAAGGGAAGTCATAGACATCTAATGACATTTCGACCCGCATTTGAGTATTGATGCTTTTGTCTGACCTTCCTTCCTCCCAGCTTGAACTCTCAGATACTTACTGTTCAGGATTGGCACAGTTCTCCTCACATCTTGCCCCAGGAAGCTGTATAAAGGGAAATAGTCTCAAACAGGGAAATTGTCTCATCTGCTGTGCTCAGCAGCCTATCAATCACCTCTCAGCCCTATGCTCTGTTAGATCAATTGGTAAAGATGAGGACATGGTCAGAAGGTCAATCCATATTTAGGACAGTTACTTTTATCATTCCCATGTGTGCTGACTATTGTACTCGAGATGGGACAATGTGGAAGGACAAATATCTCTTCTTTTGTTAGTGGGTGAGCATCACCACTGTGGTGAATGAGAAGCAATTATTTATACCAATTTGTCTGTCTTAGAAATTTCCTGATCTGTCCTTCAGGATATCATGATTGTCCTCTTTATTCCTGCCTAAGTTGCAAATTGAATTCCATCTCACTGCCCTGTTTTATGCCCACAATACATCAATAATTCACCATACAAGAGAGGAAGGGGAAAGGAACCAAAGAAAACTTACTACTGAATAGCTACCATTTGCCAGTAAGCCTGCTAAGAATTTTTAATATTTCATAACATTTCATTACAATAATCCTGTTGGTTGATATTTATAGCTTTGTTTTGAAAGACAAAGGGACTAAGGTACAGGTTCTAAAGTAATGTGACCAACTATGTATACCCTTTGATGAAGCCAGAATTCAAATCTGACTCTATCCTGAGCATGTGTTGAATGAGTTGATACAGCCGATGACAAGTTTGTTCTAACAATCCTTCGATATTGCTATCAATTCCTTCCACTCCTTGAAAACAATACAGAATAAAGAAAGCTTCTACTCCTTTCTTATATATCTGGTGAGTTCCTCCTTCAAAGAACCTTTTAGGTAAACTCTAGTTCTAGACACCATTTCTTTTTGATATTTCATTTGTATCTACCAGGCATTTATGTTGAGAAGTCAGGGGTTAGGGGACATGCATATTCAAGATATATCAAGGGAAAAGGATTTCTAGAAGGACTAACAACTATCCTCCACAGACAACATTTCAGAGATTCCTGCTATCATTTTATTTTCATCCAAAATAGATGGCCACATCACAAATAATGGCTCTGTGTGTTTCCTCAACCCATCTTTGGTACTTCTGTTTCACTTACTTCACTAACGGAAAGAGAAACACCAGGTACTTGGAGGAGAAAATGCCACTTTTGGGGGGCTTATTGCAAAATGAGGAGAAAAGAGAACTAAAAGAGAGAGGAGGAAAATGGAGAGATGGAGTAAAGAGAAAATACCAGAAAAAGAAAGAAAAATTGAATTTCCAAATATTGGTTAACTGGTAAATAGGAAGCGACACAGACAGCCACTCCCTGTACAGGGATATGATACAACCCAGTTTCTGCATTTCTAGATTTCATAGCTACACAAAATTCTCCTTGATAATTGTTTAGGATCCCTCAGTTCATGATACCTTTCTCAGATAATGGATTACTCACAGTCTTCTGATTAATGGGAGAGAAACAAAAGGCCTAAAGAATTTTTAGAGTCCTCTTCCTTTTAATTTATTTCTGCAATGGAGGTATCTAAACTGCTGGAATAATATTAGTGCTGTCATGGAAAATTTCATTTAGTGGAATTATGTATCTAGTATAATTTACTTGGAATTTCAAGGAATGGGTGATAAGATATGAAAAGAAGCACATGTAAGTGGCACTTCTAAAGTACCATAGCCTACCAGTATCAGCAATCACCCTAATTTCTGTCCCCTCTTTCACAGGTATTACCAGTCATACATGTATCTATATAACCCTATAATACCACACTACTGGCTAAGTTCTATATTTGTCTTTTCACTCCACTTCCTCCCAAGTTCTTCTGAGAGTTTATTTACTTGAGGGGGAAAAATGGCTTTTTCCTGTCGTTTGCAACTGAACTCACCTGGATGAAATATGCCAGGGCAGAGGCGGTGACGACCGGAACTGGGACTCCCATCAGGCTGAACACCTGCTCCTCCAGGATCACGCTCTGCGTATCTGCTGCCTCCTCTCCATGCTCTGAGCCATGATTGACGTCTTGATCTAGAATTGTCAAGGAGAGAAGCTTTTCTCAGTAATAAGTCAGTTTTTCTCTGTCTCTCTCTGCTTCCTCCTACTCCCTCTGATTTTTGTTGTCTAGGGTCTTTCTTTCCTCTTGGTTTTCTTCTCTATGTCTCTTTTATAGTCTTCACATTTGCTCCCTTTGCCTTCTTTCCTTTCTTTCTGCTATCACTCCTTTCTGTGTTTTTAACTTTCTTTCCCCACTACCCACAGGCGAAAAACATTCAAGGAGGACACATTTGTCCTCTGAATTAGATATTGTTCTAATTGGTGATGAGAACTTCAGCTATGAAGAAGATCAAAGGATTGCTGGTGACTAAATATGTTCTCTTCTACCCAAAACTAGTAATTCTCTTGGTCATTCACCACAGCACTCCAGGGTGACTATTGAATGTTGAAAGTCACCCTGCCAATCTCTTTTCACCTCCCTCCAGGTGATTCAAAACCCCCCTTCTTCTTCTCTGAAGCCCTCCCCTTCTATGTTGATAATCAACTCTCCTGGTTCTGGGTCATTTATTTCTAAACATTGGGGTAGGGCTGAGAGATTGCCAGATGAACTGGAAAGCTGTCCCATCTTTCAAGTAGGGAGGCTCGGAAATTAGAATTTCCAAATGCTATTAATGGTCTCCTCCTCCACACTAACTCCAGTTCCCATTGAAACAGGTTATGCACAGGCATGTTTTTGAAAACTAGATTCCAAGGTTTCTTTCTTTGTTTTCTTCATTGTTGTTTTTGTCTTTTTCCTTCTTTTCCCCCTACACTTTCCTCCTCTCTAGGTAAAGTAGTATCGTGATCAAGGGATAGTTCTTGCCCCTCAGAATCTGGGCACAGTGGCATGCACCTAATAGTGCCAGCTACTCCAGAGGCCTAAACAAAAGAATCAGTTCATCCCAGGAATTAGAGACCAGCCTGGACAGCATAAGATGACCCCACCTCAAAATAGATAAATAAAATGAAAAATAAGTAAAAAAAAAATATTGCCACTCAAGAAAATAAACTAAGATCTGAAAAAATTAAGCACATATGGAAAGGATATAAAATACTTACAAAGAAGCATATCTATAAGAATGAATAAATACTGTATAGATGAGTTATGCCTACGTAGGTAATCTTTTATTTAATCCAAAGTACTTGATAAGACAATTAAATGTTAGTTTACAGGGATATATCTATCTCATAAGAATTAAACAAAACCACATTTCAGATCCTTTCTAACTCTGGAAGTCTAAATTATATGAAGTGGTTGTTGAGGGGATATTGCCTAGTGGGATCAAACATACACTAAAGGGCCCTCACAACTATGAAAATGTGATGAGAAGATGGAGACGGTGAACTTTATTTTTTTTTCTTAGTGAAGTAAGATAGTGAGAGAATATCCTGGTATGATGCTGGTTGTTTAAAATTTATCAGTTTCAAATCTGTGAACACTGACATTCTTTTTTAAAAATGTAAGGCTGTTGGGATTGGGACAAAGTGTCCATTCCAAGTTTCAATAGAAAACTTGGCAAGGTGGAAGGCATTCTACAGGATGAGAAGAGTAGAACTTTAATTGTGGTCCTTTTAAAGCTCAATAATTATGTAATTCCCCCATCTCATTCATAAAGGAGTGGAATATCCACTCGACCTGCTTTAGATATTATTTCAGAGAGGAAATAAAATCAAAGACAAGAAGTGTATTTTGAATAGACTATTTCTATTAAAAACCATCATGAAACTTTCCCTTTTATTTTTCTTTCTAAAGAAAAGAAAAAAATCACTTGTTATCTCTGCGACTTTGGGCAAGTTATCACATATTGACTCAGTTTTTTTTTTACATAAAAAAGGAGCAATAACATTTACTACTTATTATTTATAGGCTTATAGACATTAAATAAGCTAATATGTATAAAATATATATAATAGTCCTGATAAGTATTTTATGTGTTAGCTAAGATGATTTTAACTCTTATTTTACAAATAATCATCACTTCTAATGTGCTGGATAATTAATGTCTTTTATGCCTCTTGTGTATATTTTTATACCAGTGCCTCTCTAAACTACATTTTAGCTCTTCTAATAGTCTGGCTCTTGAATATTTTCCCATGTTAGCCTGTCCATTTCTTCCCGCAACCAGGCCGGCCTCCACCTGTGTGAACAGGTTTGCCAATGAACATGGCTTTTCCCCTCATTGACTTTCCTGCCATGTGACTGCCATCATCTTTTTGCCCTCCAGCCTTCTAAAAGGTTAGAACAAAATAGCCTTCTGTTAATGACTGCCTCAATATTTTTGTTTCATGGAATTACTATTGCCATTTCTCCCCAAAGCGTTCACTGGGGAAATAAAACAACTTTTTATTTTTATCCTAATGAGTGTGATTATGTCTTGTGACAGTTAACTCCGAGGTCAATTTTTCTCAATGCCTCCACATGGGGAGTGATGACAAAGGAAAGAGATGAGTAAAGAAGGCACACATGGGATAGAGACAGAAAGGCAAGTAGCTGGAGTAGTGGGGAATGACCTCATTACAATCCTACACAATCTTGTGTAGTTCCATTAAGCCTGTGAATCATTAGCTTGCACTGTGCTGTTAAGGACATGGATTGGAACCAATGAGAAGTGCATGTACATGGACCGTCTTACTTATGCTTCAGGGAATTGTTGTACAACCTCTGTGACAAGTTTAGCTAAAGAAGTGCTTGCTTCTGTTTCCTTTGATTAGTCTCTTTTTGACCTTGGCTAACTCAGGTCACCCACCCTCTCTGTGCTTCAGTGAAATAGAATCCAGGACTGTGATTACTCTGAGGCATCAATATCAAGCTATAAAGGGCTGATCAGTGGACTGGGCCAAAATCATGAGGTCAAGAGTAGATGAGATGGCAGAAGTCAGTCCCTTCTTAAAAACCTCTGAAAGCATCTGTCTTATGAGCCAAGATCGAAGCATAGGTTTTGAGTGGAAACCTCACAGGCACTGAAAATCAGTAAGGGGATTGGATTCAAGGAAGCTGAGTAAGGCAAGAAGGATTGAGTTTATCAAAAAATGAATTAGGTTTATATTCTATAAAACTTATTACCATGAACCATGTGAGTAATAATATAGAGCAACACATACTTGTTATCTTGCATCTATGAATCAGAAGGTTGGGCACAGTTTAATTGGGTCTTCTGCTTAGGGTCTCACAAAGCTGAAATCAAGGTGACTTCTGGCCTGCATTCTCATCTGAAGAGTCAAATGGGGGAAGAATTCACCCACAAGATCCCTCAGGCAGAATGCATTTCTTTGTGACGTTTGTGTCAGTGTAAACTTGCTTCTCTAAATCTAGATGGAGAAATAGAGATAGCAGAGGGAGAGGGTTTAACATAGTAGTCACTACATCTTATGTAATCACATATGCATGATCACATACATTCCATCACTTTTGCTGCTCTTCAAGTCAAAGTTCTTACTCATGTTCAAAGGGAAGAGATTATCCTGGACCATGAACACCAGGAGGAGGGGTCAATTGGAGACTTCATAGGTATGTCAAGTCTACCCAGGTATCTGCCACACAAGGATTATAGACTGTGTTCATGGACGTTTAAGAACAGGAGAAACCAAATGGCTATTGACAGAAGGACAAATAAAAAATATGTTCTATATGCACATAAGGGAATGTTATGCAGCTTTGGAAAACAAGGAAGTTCTAATACATGCTAAAGCATGGATGAAACTTGAAGATATCATACAAAGTATAATGTAACTCAAACACAAATTGACAAATATTTTATGTTTCTACTTACATGAAGCATGCTATGGTGTATATTTTGAATGTCCCCCAAAGATCTATGTGTCAGAGGCTTGATCCCCAGCCTGTAGTGGTGTTAGGAGATGGTGCAACCTTGAGGAGGTGAGGCCTAGTATAGGAATTAGGTCACTGGGGGCATGACCTTGAGGGGCATATTTGGATACTGGATCCTTCCTTCCTCTCTCTGTCTCTCTCCACTTCCTGTCTGCCATGACGTGGACAGCTTTGCTTCACCACATGCTCCCTGTCATAGTGTTCTGCTTTTCCAAAGACTCTAAACAACAGTCAAAGACCATGAACTGAAATGTCTAAAATCATGAGAGCCAAAATAAACCTTTTTTCTTATAAGTTAATTATCTCAGGTATTTTGTCACACTGATGAGAAGTTAGCACAAGGCATCTAGTTCTAGCAAAATCTGGAAACAGAATGGTGGTTTCCAGAAGAGGAAGAAGGAATAGGGAGTTGTATATATCAGAGTTCTCTAGAAAAGTAGAATCAATAGGATGTGTACATACATAGAAAGAAATTTATTATAAGGAATTGACTTAAATGTTTATAGAGGCTGAAAAGTCCAAATCAGAAGTGAGGGTCAGTAGCCCGGGGGGTCCAGGAGAACTGATGGTACAATTTCTGTCCAAAGGCCAGCAGGTGAAGAAGACCCAGAAGGGCTAGGAGAAGTAGTTTTTACCCAAAGTTCATATGCTGGAGAATTTTTTCTTATTTGTGGGGAGGTTAGTCTTTTTGTTCTTCAGTCCTTCAGTTTTTGGAAGAGATCCACCCACATTATGTGTTGAAATGTGCTATATTTTACTAATTAATATGTTCATCCCATCCCCAAACACCCTATCTTGGCACCTGATGGCCCAAACAAAACTACCTGTAAAATTCACCATCACAGGAGTTATTTATTGGGTACAGAGTTTCAGATGGAAAAGATTTTAAAAGTTCTAGAGGTGGATTGTGGTGCTGACTGTACAACAATACAAATTTAATTAATTCCATAGTGAACAGTATGTCTGAAATGGTTAAAATGGCAACCTCTTTATGCTATGAAATGTTAGTGGCATGTTAAGTAACTATGGGAACAATAAAGTGTCCTTTTAATTTCAGGATCTATTAATTCATTATTATATGGAATTTCCTAAGATTTTATTCAAGTGTGAGTCACCATGGTTGTTGCAGAAATGTGTCCAATCAGGACCTTGCTTCTTGGCACTCACATTCCAGGGAACTGGCAAGGGGCTTGGTGATAAAGGTAAGTAACATTTTCTGGCTACCAGCTGGTTTGATAAGGATGTATTTGCTACATGTTGATAATTGTGTGTGTGAACTATGTCACAGAGCAAAACATTAAATGGCAAAGAAGCTGTTTCAATTTGGTATTAGATACACTGCACAGAAAAAGAGAATGCAGGGAAAACTTAGGGAGAAGGAAGAAAATGGAATCCTAATGAGACTGTCAGTATTGGTTATTTTTACCAATTAGTTTCCTAGAGACTTTATTTATTTTTTCATTCTTCTGTTAGCTGTCTCTTCCTTCTTTTTCTTTCCTTTTCTTTTTTCCCCCCCAAAGTGGTTTAAAGCAAATTTTAGAATCATGTTACCTTTTACATAAATACTTCAGAAAACATTTTTAGAAGATATGGATATTTTTTAGAAGTGCACATACCTTAAAAGAGATATTTCTTTTCTGATGAGGTGATCATGAAGGAAAAATAGATGAGAAGTCTATCCATGAATCCATGTAGTTAGACATACTTAAGGGGAGTGCACAGAAGAGTGTTTGTGACTTGAGTCAATCACTGGTTAGACCAAAATGTATTATTTGCTGGGCAACTTATCTGTGTTAAATATTAGAACTAATAATAGTTATAACAAATATTTATTGAGTTCTTGTTATATTTCAAATACCAAATTGAAAACAGCTTTTCACTTTCACTCATTGTCTCATTTGAATCCCTATAGCAACATTATCAAGAAGACATTATCTCCACTTATAGACAGAGACATTGATCAGTGTTAAGTAGTTCCCCAAGAGGAAAGACCAAGGGAGATATTTGAAACTTGCTTATCTAGTCCAATAGTTTTCTCTGCTGCTGTTATATGGCCACTGTATGAAATAGTACCCCAAATTCAGTTCTAAAATTACCCAGAGCACCCTCTTGGAAATGGGAGTCATAGGTGATTATCAATTAAAACAATGAGAATTATTAAAAAGTGTTAATTATAAGATATTATAATCAGTTTTCCACAGCAAAAATTAACAAGCAAATGTGAATATTGGGCTAAATGAACCCTCTTCCACAGATTTAATATGACCTACTTTCTGTGAATTTTGGCATCCTTATCTAATGAGTATATACAACTTTTTCCCTCTAAGACTCATGGAAAATACGTTTTTCCTTTCATAAATTGCTTACTGAAATATTAGAATCCACCACTTTCCCCACCTGCAATAGATGTAACCCAAGAATTTGCGTCAGTCAACTTCCCAATATGAAGCAAAGACTCCCTTTCCTCCCAGGGATGATTGAGTCATTTTTCTATTAGATAACAGAAGCTATTTAAACACTCCAGCAGAAGCTCATACACTTTTAGTTTGTTGAAGTCCTTGACTGCTACACTCTCTGATTCTTGGCATGAATTTGGAAATGACTTTTGATGACCTCAAAATGAAGCCTAGGAAGGATCAGCCTGACCAGAAGTTAAATGGAGAAAGAGCTAAAGGTACTAGGGGTGGGTAAAAGTGTACAGAGAAAGAATACCGGGGTTAGTTCAGAAATGTAAATTTATTGAAGAAAGGAGTTAAAATCCATTTAATGAAAATTATTACCATTTAAGGAAAACAAATAGTATATAATGATGGTGATGAAAACTTATACTGCATATTTACTACAAACTATTCCCTATGCTATTCATTTTAAATGTTTATTTTTTAGAATGTTCAAATAATACTTTGAGATCCATACTATTATTATCTCCCTTTTACTGAGGGCCTACTGGGATCAGGAGGATTAACAAAATCACCCACATTTATGGAGCTAGTAAGTAGTAAACTAGAATTATATCACAAACTCTCATTTATTAGAATCCAATCCATGAGATGGTTCAGAAAACAAATTCATCCCACTGTGTACAGTCATAATTTTTGTTTATTCTTGAGGCACTTCAAAAATCTGAAATGTTTTATGAATTATGCAAAACAAGTTAAATGATACACACTATGGATTAGCATAAATTATGTTCTATTGTATATAATTGTTTGAAAATTTATACTCTGTTTGACACACACAGTAAATTAAACTGCTTAGGTATACATTAATTCATAAGTCCAACTCCACAGGCAACCTGGATAAATTGCCTTTTATTTTATATTCATTCTAAAGAAAAAGAAAAAAAGGAGAGGAAGACAGAGAAGTATTGTCAGAAATTTGGATAAAGAAATTCTAAATCGTGTTTCTATAAACAAGATAGAAATGTCTTTCAATGGGTAAAATAATGATGAGCATGGAATGATGTAACCCTTGAGTTGATGAACTAACTTGGTATGAAAACAGTGAAACATTTATTGGTAGACTTACAAGTTAACAATTGACATTTGTTTATTCATTCCTTCACTCAATCATTCATTCAGTATTCATGTAGTAAATATTGAGTACCTGTTTCTTGATATAATTATAAAATTAATTCTGCTTTCAAAATCCTGATTAGATAAGTTACCTACTGAGAAACATCTGATTACTTTCTGATGAGAAAGTCACTAGTAGGAATGGGGAATGAATTAATGGTCTCTGCAGAACAAAGCAGTCCTCTAGATAATAGAAGATGTGCTTTTCTGTTATCTATTATTTCTATTATCTGGTGTTCTATAATTTTTTTCCTTCTAAAAATTCAGAAGTTTCATCATTCAAGAGTGGTAGGCAAATCTGATGTCCTGTAATTTGAAATGAATACTGACCAGAGAGAAAGGTCAGTTGAGACTTACAGAGATACATGCTAGGATTAGGCAATAACTTGCAAGAAATGAAACTACTTTCTACTTCTTCATTGCCAGTTTGTCACACACTTGCAAAGAGCATCTGAATACTGAATCACTGAATGAGCTATCTTCTACCCTGTCAAAATTTTGATTTTTCTTTTGATACATGAGAATTTTGTGAATATTTGATYATCAATTGACTTGTATTGTTACACATTTACACTGGAAATTTTCAAATGTAATATTCCAAGCAGTCTGGCTATTGACAACTGGATTAAAGTCCTATGTTTGGGTTTTATCATCCGTTATATTTTTAAGGTAGTTATTAAACTTTTCTGTTTTCCTCTTAGAGAGGTGAACAATACTGGTGCTTTATTTATTTATTTATTTATTTTATTTCACAAGAAGAGGAAATCAAATTCCTTGTATGGGATTTTTTTTTTTTTTTTTTTTTTTTTTTTTTTTTTTTTTTGGTAACCTCTGTTTTTTGAGTGGTGGAACTCATAAATAGACCTTTATATGACTGTGAAATTCATGAATTATTTTCATAAAAATAAGAAATTTTTCTCTTGTAGGAACAGGCCTATAGTTGCTGTGACATGATAGACATAAATATATTTGCATAACAGTTGTAATTATAATTATAGGACATACTATTAATATAAGCTAAGTGCATATCAAGATTTCACTCCTATTTTTCTTTGGTCAATAACCCCAGATTCCAGATATAATTTTAGTGGAATAAAAATCAAACAGCATAAAATTATGCATGGGATTCCTTGAGGAAATCCCAGTTGACTCATTGACTAAAGTTTATTTGCTTGATGTCTGATATTTATTTATATTGTGTTACTTGTAAGATAGTGTGTGTGTGTGCGTGTGTGTGTGTACATGTGTACTCATATATGATCTATAATACAACTTCAGGCTCTCTGTGATGTGGATGAAATTGATCCAACCAAGATGGATTGAGAGAGTTCCTTAAAGAGTCATTGTATTGAGAAAGTCAGTTCCTAAGACAACATGATGAAGAGTTGGGCCTGATTTTTCTTTGAATATATGCAGGGTCTCTGGTCTAATGCCTAGGACCATTATCCACTTAGAGTTTTGTACAGGGTGACACATAGGGGTTCAATTTCTACTACATATGGATTTCCAGTTTTCCCAGCACCATGTGTTGAAGAGGCTATATTTTCTCCAATGTATATTTATGGTACCTTTGTCTAGGATGAGATAATTGTGTTTATGTGGGTATATCCCCACCCCCACGTCTGTTCTGTTCCATTGGTTTTCATGTCTATTTTGGTGCCAATCCATATACTAACAAAAGTACTATATACTAACAAAATATACCATATACTAACAAAAATCATGCCATTTTTGTGAGTATAGCTCTGGTAATTTAAGGTTTGATATTGTGATACCTACTGCATCACTTTTCTTGCAAAGGATTGCTTTGGTTATTCTGGGCCTCTTATTTTTCCAAATTAATTTTATGACTGCTTTTTCTATTTATATAAAGAACATCATTGGAATTTTAATAGGAATTGCATTAAATCTGTATAGTGCTTTTGGTAGTATGGTCATTTTGATAATATTAATTCTGCCTATCCAAGAGCAAGGTAGATCTTTCCATCTTCTAAGGTCTTCTTTGATTTCTTTCTTTAGGGTTCTGTAATTTTCATTATATAGATCCTTCATCTCTTTCTTAAGTTGATTCCCAAGTGTTTTTTTTTTAGGCTATTGAAAATGGGGTAGTTTTCCTCATTTCCCTTTCTGAGGATTTGTCATTGATATACAAAAATGCCTTTGATTTATGGGTGTTGATTTTATATCCTGCTACTTTGCTGAATTCATTTACTAGTTCTAGAAGTTTTCTGGTGGAACTTTTAGGGACCTAGCTTCCTTAATAAGATTCCTGTGGTTCAAGAATTAAAATCAAGAATCAATAAATGGGATGGGCTCAAACTAAAAAGTTTCTTATCAGCAAAAGAAACAGTCTGTGAGGTGAATAGAGAGCCTGCATCTTGGGAGCAAATATTTACCCCTCACACATCAGATAGAGTGCTATCTCTAGGGTATATAATGAACACAAAAAGCTAAACACCAAAAAAAAAAAAAAAACCCCACAAATAACCCAATCAATAAATGGGCCAAGGTTCTGAAGAGACACTTCCCAGAAGATGATGTACAATCAATCAACAAATGCATGAAAAAATGTTCATCATCACTAGCAATTAGAGAAATGCAAATCAAAACCACTCCAGGATTTCATCTCACTCCAGTCAGAATGGCAGCTATTATACATACACAAAACAATAAGTGTTGGTGAGGATGTGGGGAAAAAGGCACACTCATACACTGCTTGTAGGACTGCAAATTCGTGCAGCCAATATGGAAAGCAGTATGGAGATTTCTTAGAAAATTGGGAATGGAACCACCATATGACCCAGCTATCTCTCTCCTGGATCTATACCCAAAGGACTTAAAAACAGCATACTACAGGGACACAGCCACATCAGTGTTTATAGCAGCACAATTCACAATAGCTAAACTGTGGAGCCAAAAACCTGGATGCTCTTCAGTGGATGAATGGGTAAAAAAAAATTGCCATATGTACACAATGGAATTTTACTCAGCAATAAACGAGAATAAAATCATGAATGTGCAGGTAAATGGATGGCATTGGAGAAGATAATAACACTAAAACAAACAAACAACAAACTAAGTGAAGTTAGCCAATCCCCAAAAAACAATGCGGRATGTTTTCTCTGATATAAGGAGGCTGACTCATAGTGGGGTAGGGAGGGGAAGCATGGGAGGAATAGATGAATTCCAGATAGGGCAGAGGAGTGGGAGGGAAAGAGAGGAGACAGGGGATTAGCAAGGATGGTGGAATGTGATGGACATCATTAGCCTAAGTACATTTATGAAGACACGAATTGGGTGTCAATATACTTTATATACAAACAGAGATATGAAAAATTGTGGTATATATGTGTAATAAGAATTGTAATGCATTCTGCTGTCATTTTTTCAACCAATAAAAAAAGATTCTAAATGGAATAAGTTAYACTTCATGTATTTGTAATGTCAAAATTCACTATCATGTATATCTAAAAAGAACAGATAAAAAGAATATATTTATATCTATATACATATATATGTACTTTTATCCAATTAAAAAAAAAGAGTCATTTTGCAGAGATTAGACGAAATATCAGCTTCAAAATCAGATAATCAGAGTCAGATATCGGGTTGAATCCCAGCTCTCAAAATTACCAGTTTTGTGACCATGAGTAAATTACTTAAATTCTTTAGTTGTCCATATTTTTCATCATAAGTGTGTGATCAATTATTTGCAGAGCCATTGGGAGTATGAGAGAGAAGAAATCAAGTACAGGCAAGATCCAAAGAATGGTTTGATGACTTGCTTCTATTGTTTCTGAATTTCTGATTCTCTCTTTCCACCTCTAGGTTTTCACTTTCTTACTTCTCGGTGGTGGTGCCCTGCTGCTGTAACTCTGGGGATCCTTTGCACGGGATTATTGGTGACCGTCATAATGCTGGGGATGCAGTGTAAGTACTGAAATAGGTGGGATGAGTCTACATTTATGAATTTATTTCCTAACAATTACAAAACAGCCTTGATTTAGATTTGTTTTAGGCAAAATGTTTTTAAAGTGAGTGGGAAGATGAATGGGTATATTGTGTTAATCCCTAAAATGGATAAAGACATGAAATAAAGAATACACATGGTAAAATATATTTTTTTCATTTTCATAACTTCATAGAGAAAGTCTATATAAATCCAAGAATGATGGAGAGTAAAATTACTTGACATAACTAATCCACAAACTCACTTGAACAAACCCAAGATAAATTTCATTAACTCTTGTTGAGATTTGATGAAGATGATTAAATGTCCTTAAAAATCAGAAATAGTCTAAGTAAAGCATTTTAAACTAAATGTACTTTAAATTTATAACATGGTCATTTAGGAAGAGAGTGTATTAATAGGAAAAGCAGAAGTGAAAATAAGGACAAGAATATCTAAGAAAATTATATCCATCCATCTAATTTGTCTGCATATTTAGATTGTAGATCTAAACTATTTCAAGTGGCTGGGATTCAATGTATTAAGGTTTTTGAAGTGCTATTTGCTTCTGAGTTGTTCAAATTCATAAGATATTCTTTTTTTTCTTTTGGTTCTACAAATTGAACCCAGGGGTGCTATATCACTGAACTATATCCCCAGACCTTTTTAATTTTTGAGACAGGGTGTTGCTAAGTAGCTGAGGCTGGCCTCAAACTTGCAACCCCTCTGCCTCAGCTTCCTTAGAAGCTGGGATTACTGGCCTGCATCACTTGCCCGGCTTTATTTTCAATCTATCAACACTAAAGGCCTTTTCCTAATGGTTGGGAGAAGTGTCTGGTTTCAAGTCAAGGGATCCCCTTGAGATTGCAGCATCAAGCTTCTAGAACTGAGATCTTTTACCCATAACATTCATTGCTGCTTGATTTCACAACCTTAGTTTCAACTCCACCCTTCCTAAAACGCACTATGGCAAAAATAAAAACAAAAAATGTTTTGAGAGTCTAGTGACACAGTAACTTAAAATAATTTTGTGGGTGGCTATTTCAAAATAGGGCTAGTGTTCTGGTTCTTAAATAAAATTAGGAAGTCTGGAAAGTGAGACAAAATGGGAGGGGACAGAGGAGATTTAGCGCAAGAATTAAGACACAAGTAGAATAAACCACTAATGACAATTCCTATTAATAGTCACTGAGTATGGTGAGTGTCTTAGATTGTCTGTATTTTATTTTTTTTTCACTGTGGTGTTACTTATTAATTTTAATTTGTGCACAACTCTAATAAAAATACTGGTAATTTTTTTTATCCTAAGTATCAGAAAAGTTCCTCATATTAAAAAGACACTGCATAATTTCTGATGAAATCTGGATCATCTTCCAGTAGACTTTGAAGTGCTATTTGCTTCTCAGTTATTCAAGTTCATGAAATGTTATTGTGGATACTTACCTGTTGTCAAAATTGATTATTTGGTTTTGTGAAAATTCAGTGGAACTATATTGGGGATTGGATATGGAACCCTGATTCATTTCTACTGTAGTATTTCAGGTGTCTGATCTCCTCAAACAATACCAAGCCAACCTTACACACCAGGAAATCTTATGGGAGGGACAGATTTTAGCTCAGCAGCAGGAAAAAAATGCTTCTCAGAAGTCACAGGAGGAACTCAAGGAAATGATAGAAATCCTTGCCTTGAAGCTGGATGAAAAATCCAGAAAGCAGATGGAGCTTCACCAGCAAAATTTGGATCTCCAAGAAGCTCTGAAGAGAGTGGAAAACTTTTCAGGTATTGTGGGAGGAAAGAGGGGGGGTAGCAGGTTTTGTGTTCAATCTTTATTTTTTATAAGTATTTCTAGGCACAGAATTGTCATACTGACGTATGTGTCATTCATTATTCATTCTTAATGGTCTGCATCTGGAAGTTCTCTATTTTTGTCATCTCCACCCTACCCYATGTCAAATCCTAGAGACATCTGATTTAATGAAGCCCACTATTTGGTGGATTTAAGATTTTCTTCCTTAAAAAAAAAGAGCTTCTTATTTCTTTAAAAATTCTTCTTTTTTAAAAATTTCTCTGGAAGAACCCCCTCTCATCCTCACTGCTTGCCGTAGGTATTTACCTCTTTGCATTCTACTGTATCTTAATCATCAGATTTCTTTTTCTAAGGCGTCTTCTTGTCCTTACAACTATTTGCCTGTACTTCTGCATTAGACTTTATTCTGTGACACTATGTGAATGTTCACTTCATCAATCTAAATAAAATCAATGGAGGTAGACTTGCATGCAAGTGTTAGGTAGTTACTTCAGGTTAGACAAAAATATGAGGGGTCCAAAAAGTCCCTTTATATAAAAAGAATTGAATTGATTTCAGCTTTCCAGGACTCACAATCTAGAAGAGAGAAATAGTAGCATTTACAAGATTATTTTTAACTTTGATATTATTACAAAAGCTATCTGCATTATTTAGTCTTTCTGTGGTGTGTAATCCAAACAAGTGTATGATTTTAGTCTTAGGGAATGTTTGAAAGTGTGACATGGAGTCACTTTCAGATATACATTGCTTTCTGTGAAGTACTTGAGTGCTTTGGTCTTAGGATTAGTAACTAAGTCCACTAATACACAGATTTCTCTCACTTTTTTTTTCTTGTACAGCTTATATAAGTTCAAATATGTAACTTCTTAGAATAAATATGACATAATAATTGTTCACAGATATCTATTCCTTCATTTTATACAAAAATGAGACCAAGATAAAGTTAAATAATAAAAATGATAAGTGGTTTTGTGTAAAGTTTTGCAGTTTATAAATCTATTCCTTGTTTACAGAGTAATTTAAATTTCCAAAATAAGCAGAGATTTCTAGATAGGGTGATATTTAGCAAGTGTTATACATATATTTAATCTTTTTTAGGGAGGGAGCTTTCAAAGAAATAAATGAACACAGAGCTCAAAGAAAGCTTGGAGGAGGCTTATATATCAAGGGCAGGAATATTTACATAATCAGACATAGCTATATACCATGGTTGGTATATAGTTTATTTCATAGGCAAGGCTGTGAAACATTTCTGTTTTTATCAGTTGAAAATTGTATGGGATTAAATATATGTCAGGACCATTCAGAACCACCTTCCAGGGATGTCAAGCATGGACAACTAATTAAACTCAATAAATGGTATGTTTGGTGCGGGCAGATACACCAGGTAATGTGTTACACTTCTTGACAGTGTCAGATAAAGGCCAATTAGTAGATATACTAAATAAAGTTTTTCTTTCATCAATTAGCTTTGAGAAGATCATAAATAAATAAATATTAAAATACCACATGAAAAAATATGCAAGTTTTATCTGTCCTATAAACAAGGGTGTGGTCTCAATGCATATATGAAGAGGGAGAGTGATTACTTACCATGTGTTTGCTTACAGTCATTAAGCTAATGAGATGCAGGGGCTTCACAGTAATGGATTTTACACTTAGCACCAGCAATAGCAGTGGTTCTCAGACATTAGTATGCAAGGTACTTGTTAAAATGGAAGATTCCACTTTGACTCCAAGATGCTGCATCAGAAAGACTTGTGAAACTCACTGAGAAATGTGGTCAGAAAGAGTTCAAACTTAGAAATTTGAGAGGTAGTGTGTCACAGTGATTAAAAACATACACTCTAGAGTTGGACTGACTAGGTTCAAATTCCTCTTTTCTCTATTTGAGAAATGAAGAATATTAACGGAGCCTACCTCAATGAGTTGTTATGAGGAATAAATGAGTTCATATATGTGAAGTACTTCCAGTGGTTTCTTGCACATGGTAAATAAGATTTGTGTTTTTTTCAAGTTTATATCTCATAATATTATATGGTAATTATGTACATTTTATATAGTATTATAATGTTAAGTAATATTATATGTAGATTTCAGGCATACACAAGGAAAAAAAGTTGGTTTCAATTCCATATTTTAAGTGTGTTTTTCTTATTTTGTCAAAGTTTGTAAACTTGCCTAAGCTTTCCACCACAAAACTGATATTTTTGACACTTTGGTAACAGTCTAGATCAAAGGGCTCTGTCTTCCTTAAAATGTCATAAACTTAGGCAGAAGACAACACTGAGGATGAGAATGACACTGGTGATAAGATGGCCTGGGGGTGGTTGAAAACATTCATACACTCACTGACCTTGGCACATTTTGCATATTGCTAACTTCCTGAGTTGTGTTTGCTAGTATCTCTGGGAATTTTGCTGCTGAGAACCTTCTTAATATTTGAGATTTTACTGAGGTTGAGGTCTTTATTTTGAATCACCATATTATTCTCCCTAAAACAACTTTGTCCAAAAGAAATATAGTGTGTGACACTATGTAACATTAAACTTTCTAGCAATCATATGTATAAAAAGAAGATTAGTTTTAGTAGCATATTTAGGTTTATCCAAAATATCTGAAATATTTATTCAATATTAGTATAAAAGTTACTAATAGGATATTTTCCATTGTTTCATACAAAGTTTTCAAAATTAGATATGCATTTTATCCTTATAGCAATCTTAATGCACACTAGCAACATATGGTTATTGTTTCTAAAAGTAGAAGACACAGTATTTAGGCCTAATCCATTATTCAAGGATGTGTAGTTTTAAAATTCATAAGCCTAACTTCTTAATAACAGAGTGGCTATTAAATATCCATTTTCCAACTCTCACTTCCATTATTCCATACATAACTTTAAAAAGTAGATTGGGCTCTAAAATCACATTGCAGCTTATCCTATTTTTTAACAGAGCAAGTGAAAATGCTAAATGAGAAGTAAATTTAGTTATTAAAATCAGAAATCTTTATTTATTTTTCTTCAAACAAATGGAGAAATAAAGACCCTAAGGTTATTTAGGTATTTGTAGAGTACAGATATATTTTAATGAAGAAGAAATGGTATGCATGTGAGGGGACTAAGGCTAAAATTAGTTACATAATTGCAGGAATACTTGTATTCAAACATAACTCACTGATTAAGTATACAACATTTCCCAGGTCCTTGTCCCCAAGATTGGATCTGGCATGAAGAAAGCTGTTACCTATTTCCCTCTGGACTATTTAATTGGGAAAAGAGTCAAGAGAACTGCTTGTCTTTGGGTGCCCAATTGCTGAAAATTAATAACACTGATGATCTGGTGAGTGTTTATGAATAATTATGGGGCTGGAGCATTGATAGCAACACAAATCTAGTTTGGGACCTGGGGGGAGAACCACTTGTTGGAGAGCCAAAATAGCTGTTTTGTAACATCAATTCAATCAAATCAGAAACATTACTCTCCACAGAATTTCATCCAGCAAGCAATCTCCCATTCCAGTTTCCCATTCTGGATGGGATTGTCACTGAGGAAACCCAACTACACATGGCTCTGGGAGGATGGTTCTCCTTTGATGCCCCACTTGTAAGTTTCCTATTCCTTTCGATACCCCTTTTAAATTTTCTGTTTCTTATTGTATCTACTTTTAAAATTATTGCCACATTCTACTATTGACCTCATTTGCCACACTGATCCTTGGGGAATTTGCTAAAGTCTCTTTCTTCACCTCTCTCACAAAGGGCTTTGCCCATTTACCCCTTCAGATCTCTCTTGAGCTTTTCTTCCCATATTTATTGATTTGAAGTTTTAAGACAAAGCTACGTTTCTGACACAAGGTGGCAGTAAATTTAATTTTTTTTTTTTTTTTTTTTTTTTTTTACCTTCTTCAACTGCAGGTTTAGACTCCAAGGTGCCGTTTCCCAGATGTATGCTTCAGGCACCTGTGCATATATACAACGGGGAGCTGTTTTTGCTGAAAACTGCATTTTAGTTGCATACAGTATATGTCAGAAGAAGGCAGTTCTACTGAAAGCACTGTGAATTTGAAGGATCTGGAAAAAAAAGGTCTTTTATCCTGGAAGTTAAGCTACTCTTCATCTTCACTGATGTACAGACCATGAGAGCCCTGAGAACTGCAGTGATGAGCTGGCTACAGAAACTGACTGGGGTTTTTCAGAAACTAAGACTAGGAATCCAGCTGCCTACTGCCTTTAGATCCAGAGTTGTAGATTCACTTTGTTTATCATCTATCTATCTATCTATCTATCTATCTATCTATCTATCTATCTATCTATCTATCTATCATCATTGTCTGACATTTTTCAGCTAGTGTGTCCCAAGCCTCCTTGCTAATTTTCAAACCTTCTTCCATTTTCTATTTTAAAATTTGGCTCCTCTCCAACCTTGGGAACCATCTGCTCAATTTTCTCTGCCTTCCCCCACCTTTCTAATACTGCATAGAAGACAGAACATAGAGAACTTACCCAACTATAGACAGAAGGCAAAAAAAGGGGAAATGGACCTGGTAAACAGTGCCCATGAAGGAGAAGTAGAGAAAGGCCGCACCAAAATCAAGAAGCTCACATTCTCAACTTAAAAGCCATTGTCTTTTTAATTTTTATCTATTTCTAGACTCCACCATTTTTACATGTTCATATTCCCCCCAACCTCTACCACCACACACACACATTTTGGGACAACTGTGGTGCCCCAGGAAATAATTAGTAATTTCATGGTCTTTTCCACGTACTAATTCACAACCCATTATCAGTTTCTGAATCAGTTATTATTTCTTCATCTTTTCTTCCTCCAAAGGACAGTCTAATAGCTTTAACCCCTCAAAATAGCATTTGTTAGAATCTCAGGATATATGACCCAGAGGCAAAATAATAGAATTTACCCCCCCTAAATTACGTTCTTCTCTACAACTCTCTTATGAGATACTATGTTTCAGAAACATAAAGACCAAAAAATCAATACACTCAATTGTAGAACAAACTGAGCCAGATATGTAAATATTGCTGAATAGAAACACATGAAATTAGAAATATCTCTCCTATTTTCAGAGCTTTCCACCCCCTACACAGGCTATTTTCTTTAAAAGAACCTTTCCATTTGCTACATATAATCTATCATCATATATGTAAATATGTTATAATATATATCCAGCATCATTATACACATATATATATATGTGTGTGTGTGTGTGTGTGTGTGTGTGTCTGTGTGTCTGTGTGTGTGTGTGTGTGTGTGTGTTAGGGTCTGTAAACAAGTCAGGATGGTACCTGGCATTTTGCCAGAGGGAGTGGTTTGTAAGGTGGCGCCAGTGAGGCATTAAGTGTGGAGATTCCTTATTGGTTGACTGCTGTATCTAATTTATGTTAATTAAGATAAGCTGTGTGGAATGTATATATACCCCTCCTGTCCTACAATAAAGGGCTCCTACTCCTGCTGTATCAATCTACACAAGTTGCTCGTCACCCCCCAGTTATTTTGCTGCAGCCAGACTGCGGCATATATGTATGTATGTGTGTATATATATATATATATACACACACATATACACACAAACATATATATTTCGTTGGAAAATGAGATGTTTTCTATTGTTAACAGCTTTGTTGCTGTATAATTGACATATAATGAATTGAACTTATTAAATTAGATAATTTGATGTTTTCCCACATCTAAACAATGCTACCTTGTGGTGAGGATGTCAATACAATCAAAATAGTAAACACATTCATCTCCCCCAAAAGATTCATCATGCCTCTCCCAAATGCTTCTACTCCAGACAGGCACCAATCTGTCTTCAGTATGCATTTTGTAGAGTTTGTATAATTCATTGGGGATTCATGCATTTCCATCTTGTTGTTTGTATCAGTTTCATTCTTTAAGGTTGAGTACCCCTGTGTATAAAAATACTACCATCTGTTTGTTATCTGTTTACTTGTTGATGACATTTAGATTTGTCTTCAGTTTTTTGATAATTACAAATTAAGCTGCTATGAACTTTTGTATACTTATGTTTGTGTGAACATCAGATTTCTTCTGTCCTGGGTAAATACCTAGAAGTGGAATGCCAGAATCATGCAGTAGGCATGTGTTTAGCTAGTTAAGAAACTGCTGTTTTCCAAAATATTTTCCTTTCACATTCCTACCAGCGGTGTAAGAGTAATTCAGTTTATGTCATCTGTGCTGGAATTTGGCCTTGTCAATCTTGTAATTTTGGCCATTCTAGTAGATATGTAATTGTATATCAGTGTAGTTTTAATTCACATTTCCCAAATGGTAAATGATATTGTACATTTTGACATGCTTATTTATCATCTGTGTGTTTTTTAAATAAAGAAACTACACAAGTATTTTGAGTGTTTTTAAATTGGGTTATCTATGTACTAATTTTTTAGTTTTGAGATCTGTGTATATTTGAGGCAAAAGCCCTTTATCTGATATGTGACTTGAGAATTTTGGTTGTCTGTCTCTGCCTTCTTTTTCTTCTCAAAACAGTGCACTCACAAACGAGAAGTTTTCAATCTTGATGAAGTGCACTTCCACCTTTCTGTTGTTTAAGAACTCATTGCTTAACTCAAGGCCACGACATTTTTCTCCTATTTTGTTTTTCTGAATTCATGGTTTTAGGATTTACACTGAAGTCTATGACTTATTTTAGAGTAATTTGTGAGTTATGTATTGAAGTTCACTTCTTTGCTTGCAGATATCCAATTGTTGTAGTAACATTTGTTGAGAGGCAATTCTTCTCTGCACTGCTTTTGCATGTTTGTCAGCACTACTGTTCATGCATATGTGAGTTTATTTAAAAACTCTCTACTCTTTTATGGATGTTTTTATTTTTATACCACTACCACCACACTATTTTGAATACTGAACTGTTATAGTAAAGCTTGAAATCACTTAGTGACAATCCTTCAATTTTGTTCTTGTTCAAAGAAGTTGTTTTGGCTGATTTATGTCATTGTATTTCCGTATTCATTTTTGAATTGACTCATCTATTTTTGTAAAAATCTTTTGGAATTTTGATTTTGATTGCATTGAATCTACAGATAAACTTCAGGAGAACTACATCTCGAAAATAATGATTCATCTGATTTCTAAGCAAAGTACATTATTTAGGCATTCTTTAATCTAAGTAAAATTTTACAGTTTTTTCTGTAAAGATATTTTACCCATTTTGTTAGATTATCATTATGTATTTCATAATTTTGAAGTTAAAGCAGATGACATTATCATTTGTAATTTTTCTATACAAATACAGGTTGCTAGTGTATAGAAACACAAGGGATTTTTTTGGTACTAACTCTATCCCAAAATACTGAAAAACTCAGTTCATTCTCCAAATAATATTACACATATAGAGCACAATTTTTCATATTTTTGTGTATAAAGTGTGTTCATGCCAATTCATGTCTTTATACATGTACTTTTTTTTGTTCTGTTGTATTTTCTATATAGGGAATCCTATCATTTGTACATAAATACACTTCTGTTTTTGTTTGTGTTTAGCTTAAAGATAAACCCAGCCCTTGTCACTCCATCCTGGCTTTAAGTAAAATCCAAGATAATTCTTTTGTTATTAGGTACTTTTAGCTTCCCATTGGGAGCTACTTTATCACTGAACAAGAATTTGTGGAGACAAAGCATCTCCCTAAAAAGAGTCTAGTCTAAAACTGGCAGATGAATTTCTCGACTGTTTTGTGTCTGGTAGTTTCTATTTCAAAGTTGACACAGCTATCTTCTTGAGCCATGATAACAGTGCCTGTGAATCCTTTGCATTCATGCTTACTACTCCTTGGTTCTCTAATCTAGGCAGGCACCAGCGCATTGATTCCTAAGTATTAGCTCTTCAGGCGCAAGTTCCCTGATCTCATCTATTCTGGGGACATCTCTTTCTGTATACTGCTTCCTATAGTGGCCAGCTATTTAAATGTTCCCATTCTTGACACAATTTAAATCAGGTCTCCAGCTGTCACTCTTTTTTTAAAATTTAATTGATTTTATTTTTTTAAATACACAACAGCGGGATGCATTACAATTCTTATTACACATATAGAGCACATTTTTTCATATTTTTGTGTATAAAGTGTGTTCAGGCCAATTCATGTCTTTATACATGTACTTTTTTTGCATTACAATTCTTATTACTCATATATACCACAATTTTTCATATCTCTGTATATAAAGTATGTTGACACCCAATTCGTGTCTTCATACATGTACTTAGGATAATGATGTCCATCACATTCCACCATCATTATTAATAGCCCCCTGCCCCCTTCCTTACCATCCTATCCCTCTTTGCTATCTAGAATTCATCTATCTATTCCTCCCATTCTCCCCCTCCCTAACCTCACTATGAGTCAGCCTCCTTATATCAGAGAAAACATTCAACATTCGTTTTTTGGGGGATTGGATAACTTCACTTAGCATTATCTTTGCCAACGCCATCTATTTACCTGCAAATGCCATGATTTTCCAGCTATCACACTTGCTCTTCAGACTGTTTATGAATGCCCTGTGAGCTGACTTTTACATTCCTAAAGAGTTTTTAAAACTATAACCTCAATGATTGTTAAGCAACTTGAAAATTTGGAAATATCTGTTCTCTCATTCTTTTCATAAAACTTTCCTGATTGCTGATGTAAATAAGTAATGGATTATGCATGCATTTCCTTAATTAGAAATGAACAAGGGTTCTAAATTTGACCTCTCTGAATTCAAATTCTGGTCAGTTACTAAATTTCTTTCTTTCTTTTTTAAAAAATATCTTTTTTAATTTATTTTTATGTGGTGCTGAGGATGGAACCCAGTGCCTCACCAGTGCAAAGCAAACGCTCTACCACTGAACCACAGCCACAGCCCCCTAAATTTCTTTCTTATCTGAGCAAGTTTCCCTCTTGATGCTTTGATTTCCTAAAATAAAAATGAGATGAATGCTTGTAGCTATCTTTTACATATCTAAGGATTTAAAGGGATAATGTTTATAGAGCATATCATATAGAGCTTAGAATTTCATAACAGTT